TTCTTTTTTTTAAATTGTGTTTTTTATTGTTGCATTTTGTAAGACACCCAGAATTGTAACAGATTCGGGCAGGCTTATCTAATAAATAAATAAACCTCATAAATAAAAAATGAGGAGGAAAGATATCGTGCCATGTGTCTAGAGAGAAAAAGATCCCTGCAAAGAATGCTGAAAGCAGGAAGGAAAATTGGAACTAAAAGAGGGAGAGAAAATACTAAGTGATTTTGATGGAAATTAAAAAAAAAAAGATTTCCGAAGTGAGTGAAAAGGGCTAAATAAGAAACCTCCAGCAGAGTGAATGGAATTAAAGATAAAACTGATGAAATGATTTGGGATGAAATTGAAGTACAGAATGACAGAAGGAATATCTCAGAGATTTGCAAGGGATGGTCCCAGCCTGTCAAGGAATGGGGTGCAGAACTAGGAAAAGGGGCAAGGCTGCAGGGTAAATACAGGGCAGGGCCCATGGATCAGATTTTTGCTCTTCAACAGGTGAGGGAGAAAAATAGGAATGTGAGAAAGAAGGTGGGTCTGTATAATAAGGGCGGAGTTATGAGAAGTTTGCACGAAGTGGTATGGAAGTCCTGCTGCCGAAAGCAATACAGTAAGAGCAATGGAAGCATAGATTAAAATACATTTTGAGCTGGTAATAAGGCAAGGATGTGTTTAATATATTGGGATATTCTGAGGACATTAGCGATATGTCAGTCAAGTGTGCAAATGTGTGTGCAGAGGATGCTATGCTCTTGGTTGAGAGCATGAATTGTTTGCAGCAAATATTAGATAAACACTCGCATGCAGATCTGAAATTAAAGTATTACAGACCAAGGTTGTTACACTAGAGTTGGAAAAATGAAGTAAGCTGTACATAAGCAGTGAATCATTACGGCAAGTAAATGAACCTTTCTGCTTCACAGGATGCTTGTAACGATGGGAAACTGGGTGAAGATAACTTAAGGTGGGCCAACACTGACAGAAAGTGCGCGGTCTTCCAAAAGAAGGAAAAACAGGTGTGAGAGTGTGCTTCTGCGTACTTCGTTACATGGAAGTAAAAGCTGGATTTGTCCAGAGAAACATAAAATTAATTTAAATTAATTATTAATTTAAAATAAGCAATTTTTATCATTTTACTCATTTTGTATTTCACGTTTTCTCTTTGCAGCTGGTTTGTTTCAAAGCTGCCTCCAACTGTAGCAGCAGAACAGAAGTATTTTGAGATAGGCCAACAGGTAGGGCCACAGTGGTGATGGGGGCACCCTTGGGGGACTTGAAAGAACAGGGACAGATCATCAGGGGGAAAATCTATCTATGTGGTCGCTAGGAATTGAAAATGACTTAATGGCACATAATCAAAAATAAGTAAGGCGTCTGTGGGTGCTCGGATGTCAGATGGCCCAAGGAAACCAAATGTAAAAGGAGGGGAAATTCTCAACAAAATAATAGTGTTGGCTAGAGAATTTAAGAGATTTCTCTAAGAAAAAGTGTTGGGAAAGGGTCATTGTGTATCTAAATACATAGTAGCTCAAGATTAAATTTGCAATAACAATTTGCAAGATGTTTTATTTTTCCCAGATATAAGCTAACCTTCATTTCCCTACATTTTTCACCCGTTCCCTCTTGGCCCCAATTTAGGGCAGTGCAAAAAGAAATCAAAGTAAAAAAGAAATCAATACATCAAAGAATGTTGTTCATATTATTTTTCCATTATTACATTTCTTTTAAAAATGTTTTTGCAAAATCAAAATATATGTACAATATTTTCACCCTCTTAATAAAAAATCCTTTTCTTATTCACAAATAGGAGAGTGGTGGGGGCCAGTAATTAAATACAAACAAAACACCTCCTGGGGAGAAGAGAAATGTTACACCAGCAAATGAAAAAACAGCCTTCCTTTTTCCAATCAAGAAATATTTTGATTTTCTTCAGACGGAGTATCTTATAGTAAAAATGCATTGTGATCCCTTGTTTATGAGAAGAAATGCCTCTTTTCTGTTTTCCTCTTGCCTAACCTCCTTTTTCAAGCTCTGACATGGTTCTCTGAGGGCTGGACTTCTGCAAGGCCCGTGCTCAGCCAAGCGGTTTGTGTGGCCTTCCCTCCCTCCAGGCAGCGCACACAGCCCCAGTGGGTGGTTCTCCTCCACAGCAGCCCTGCGCACACCAGTGACCGGCCTCCTCATCTCCCAGGGCTTCCTTGGCTAGGAGTGGGCTTTGCCCTCGGCCTCCCGGTCCTGGTCCACCCCCTCACTCGCTCTCGCTACTCTGCCATGCCAGCTCACCCCGAGCCCATTTTACAGAAAACCCAGGGGTTGTGATCCAGTTGCAGTCAGTCCGTGTTTCTCCCCACTGCATTAGCACCTTTTGCACACGAACCCCTAACCTGGCCCTTTCTCCCTGATGGATGCCATTCCCCTGGCACTCAGGGCAGGCGGTGCCCCCCAGCAGCAGGCACACACTGCACCCAGGAAGCCCTCCTGTGGCTTGCAAGAAAAAACTGGCTTCCTTTTGTTTAGTACCCCCCACCTTCCATGCATCTACAGGGAGAGTCACAATCCCCTTGTATCGTGCCTGTGTCTTCCATCGCTGCATCCAGGGGGGCGGGGGAGAGATTCTGGAGGGACCCAGAAAGATGCAATGGGCGGATGGCAGGTGCCGCGAACGTGAACCCTGGACTGCTCCTGGCAGCCTCCACCCGGGCAGTTTCATTGGCCACAGCACGGAAGAGATGAAGTCCAAGATGAAAAAGGGGCTAGCTTACAGAATCTTGGAACTAAGCATGCGTGTACTGTCCCCCCCCCCGCCTTTTAGCAGTGGGTGTGTTAAAGCAGGTCCTCCCTGATGCCTTTGCTCCTCTCTGTCCTCCTCTCTTTGCTCCCCCCCCCCTTGATTTAAGGGGAAACTGGCTCCTTGTTCTGCAATGTTTTTTGCAAATGCCCACTCATTCCCAGGCTCAGCGCGTTCCAGTACAATCAGATCCGGGCTGCAGACTTCTCCTAGAGAGCAGCAAAGGAAGACTGCAATACAACCCCCTTCCTGCCATCTAGTGGTCCCCGGGGTTTCCTCAGCCCAGCTACAGTGACTCCTCTTTCCTTTCTCCCACCTGCCCCCAGTTGCCTCAGTCCCCCTGGGCTTGGCACCTGACCTCCCTCACTGTGTGAGGGATTTGTCTGGAGCTCCAAAGAGCCCTGCAGAGATCCCAGGTGGTCTCCCATCCAGCTGCTGCTCAGCCACGGGGATGACTTTCTGCCCCTCTCTCTCACACACATGGGTTTTTCCCCATTTCTTCTTAAAGGGGAACAACAGGAAGATACTTCTGCTCTCCTGCCAACGGCCTATCCCATCTCTGGAGGGGCACCCGCCTCAGGGAATATCAAACCACCATTTTCTCTTCCTCCCAAAGGGCCAGGCTTTCTCTGATGAGAAAAAAGCCAGGACAGCCCTGGAAGAGCCCAGGAGGATCAAAGTCAGGAGAGCTTCTCTGTAAAACAGGGTGCAGAGAGGGGGCGAATCCACTGCGGAGTCAGATCCACCTGGCCCTCGTGCGCAGATCAGCTGAGAGCAGTGCAGGGGGCTTTTGAGCCAATCGTTGGGCAACAGATGGCCATCGGCAGCTTCCAGATGACCTTGACCTCTGCTCCCCGGGAAAGGGCCAAGTTCCTGCCCCAACCAGCAGCCCCCTCTTTTCAGGAAGGCTTGAGACGGAAGCCTCTTGCAAGAGCTAATGAAACCGGCAGGGAAGCCTCTCGGTCCTGAAGGGGGCTTCCAGCAGCGGGTTTGGAAAGGAAGGCTAATGGCTCTGGGGCCTTGGCAGGGGCAGCGGATACCCCTGATGCAGAGGGTATTCCTTCTTCACTGCAGATGCTGGAGGGACTCCTGCAGGGGCTCTGTGCACATCACTGTGGACGGCACATGTTCTGTTTAACGCTAGTCCTCTTTGACAGCCTCTTCTCTGAGCAGAAGGTTCTCCGGCTCTCAGGGCCACAGGAGGGATGAAAATCATTTTGCCAGCGGGAACAAGCAACTATGCAAAACAGGCTTTCTCGGAGGCTCAGAGGGCATCAGCGCAGCCAGGAGCTGCCGGGCACCTGAGCAGGCCAACTGATCCCAGGCCCTGGGGTCAGGCCAGGCCAGGCCGGGCCTCCGGCAGAGGCTCCTGGCCGCCACAGGGGGCTTTCCTGCCACC